TTATAAAGTACATACATACATGCACACCGCACCTACCTTCCTTGTTCCCACGTGTTATTCAACAAAAAAGACAAAAAAAAAAAAAAACACTATGAAAACCACCCAGTGGAGAAACTTGCTTCACTGTCATTGAGGCTGTATTCTATAAATTATTTCCTTGGATTAATTTCCTGCTTCCAAGAGCCAAGTTATTTTTAAATACAAACCCTTTTATAGGAATCTGTCACATCCTACAGAAAAATGTTCCAGTGTTTCAAATTCTGTGCCTCACTCCCTTAAGTACCTCATTCATGAGTAGATTTTTAAGATTTTAACTGCAGAGGCACCACTTACCGTGTCTAATCTTCAAACCGAGTGCTCAAAGAACTGCACTGGTCATGGGTCCTGGCATCGTATTTGGGACCCCTGATGCCATGCACCCCGCTACCACCCCAAACCAAGGCTGACGGCTCCCCTGAGCCAAGGCAAGACCATCCCACTTTCTCCTGGGAAGAAAAAGCAGAGTCTAGCATGTTTGTTGGTCGAGTATCTGCTGATCTCAAACTGAGGCTGAGGACCTTCTGGTTCACAGTTCATGGCTCCAGTTTTCTCTGTGAACCATGCCTGCATGTCCTGCCCTTGGGTCCTGAGAGAGATCCTGAGCTTCGAAACGCATTATCCCAGTTTTGCTTAAAGTAATTTGCAGCCATGAGAAGCTCCACTGAGTAATGGCTATTCCTGATATCACATGAGAAGGGTGGGCCAAAATTGTTATTGCTGAACAGCAAAGGAACAAACCCACCCCTCTGCAACACGTTTTCTTTTATTCAGACTTACCACTGTTTCATCACTTCTCTGCATGTTTCCAGGGGGAGGACTGAGCCCCCACCACCCCATCATCCAAAACTACTCCAGTCAGGGATCCTAACAACCAACCTTATTAACAAACACTTTCCCTGCCAGTATCAGTGGGAAAACATTAGCACGGCCCCACATTTTCTCCCTCAAATGTACTTCGCTGACCCACTTCAATTTTGGGGTTTTGTCTTTCTTCTTTTCTAGGCTTGAGAATTAATCTGTGTGAACTAGAAGATCCTGCAATTCAAAAGTGTGAGTGAATGTTAAGCCCCACGAGGCAGGGATTAAGCTTGTTCACCACTGTACCCCCAAGCCCTGCACAGTACCTACCCCACACTGAGTGAGCACTTGCTGAATAAACGAAAGGATGAAAAGTAGGAGCATCACGGGCAAGTACACAGACTCTGGAGTCAGACAGACCTGGGCTAGAATCCCACATCTTCCACTTACAGCCTTATAACACTTATAAACACTCAGATCTGCTAAGAATTTTGTATATATTATCTTATTTAATGTTCCCTCCCTGAAAAGCTCTAAGGAATTATCCCTCATTTTACACTTGGTAAAAATTGAGCAACTTTCCTAAGGCTACAAGGTCAGTAACCCCCAGCTTAAATGTATTTCTTTTTTTTAACTGAAGTTATTGGGGTGTCACTGGTTAATCAAATTATATAGGTTTCAGGTGTACAATTCTGTAACCCATCATCTGTATATTGTATTGTGCATTCACCACCCCAAGTCAAGTCTCCTTCCATCACAATTTATTCCCCCTTTACCCTCTTTTACCTCCCCCACCCTTCTTCCCCTCTGGTAATCACCCTGCTACCACCCCACTATTGTCTATATCTGTGAGTTTTTCCCTAATTTTTATGATACACTGCTTCTTACCACTAACTTTGTGACCTTGGGCAAATGATTTGATCACTCCATTTGCTGAAGACTGTGGTTCTGAAGACTAAGTCAGACAGACAGTGTGTGTAAAGTGCTTATTAGCACAGTGCCAGACAAAGGGCTCATTTAAAGGCAGTTATTATTATTAGTTACTCACTAGCGAGCCTATGGTGAATGTCCTTCAAGCAGGACATTCAGTTCCATAAATTACACGTTCTCTGGAAAGCAGCCATTTTCTAGGCAGCGAAAGCAAAAGGAGCAAATTATAACCAATATTTATTTTGGATATGATCTAAATTCTCCAAGAGGAAATAACAGACAAATCTTCTGATAGCCTGAGAGCAATGATCATGCTTGAAGTTAGGGGGCGCCATATTGCCATATTACATTATGGAAACCACTTTCCCAAAGAATATTGAGCACCCTAAGACTTTTTCTCCAACCACGTAAATAAATTCTGACCAGTAACAATTTTTTTGGCAGTTATTACTGCCAAAATTCTGACCACTAGGAACTTTTTTGGCAGTTATTACTGCCAAAGGGAGGGGGAACCCTTTAATATTTCTTTCCACACTCTTCCACAATTTCAATTTCAATCCCAGTATCTATTCCTACTTTATTGCCAATGCCTTTGCTATTGCTTCATTGAGATAAAGGGCATTATTACATCATTCAATGACCTTTAAAAAATCCAGGAAAAAGGGTATTTAATTAGGATCAATACACTAATAAGCACAACCCCAAGAATTTAAAGTACCTGTAAACTGACTGTTCTAAAATAAATGTATGTATTGGGTAATGTTAAAAATGGGTGATAGGAGCTCCATATGCTAGCCTCTCTAAATTATTTTTTTAAATTTTCATAATAAAAATTTACAAAGAAATTTTAAAATAAATTCACATGTTCTGCTTTTTAAAAATTAATTTTCCCTGAAAACCCACTTGGAGGACGCAGCAGGAAACCAGGTCTCTGTCACGACTCTGAAGCAGCGCAGAGTCAAGTACTCAGCTGAAGGAAGAGAAGTAAATAAGGTTAAATTAAGGTGAAACTAATATAAATCATGTAGGGATGGAATGTGTTTCTGCAATGCTTTACCAATGAACTTCAAACAAGAGACCCAACGCCACAGACTCTACTAAGGAGACTTCTTTACACAGGCAAATCAAACTTTTAAAAATTTTTACTATAATAATTGTTTGCTCAAGCCTGGTTTACATTTGGTTCTAATTGGTTGGGAATATCCCAGTCTAGAGGTGGTTTTTCTAAAGGGAAGGAATGAAAAGCTCTACGCCAAGACAACCAAAGGAAAGCTGGAAATCTGGGTGTGGGCAGGCAGATGTGTCTTCAGTGGACAAAGATGGATTTTCTCTTTTTAATTCACATTCATTTTCTGTTAAGTGAAAAGTTATTTTGTTCTACTCAGAAGATAACCCACAACAGAAAATCATGTCTATAGATCTCTTTTCCTTAGTCAGACATACACAGTGCTTTTCATTCCATTTGTGGAGCTAACTTCTGGCTAGCCAAAACCCTGCCACTGTTCTTAAGTCAAAGCTAAATAAAAATACTTAACATTCAAATATATTAGTGACCTCTTTCTACCAATTACTTCTGACTCCCTCAGAGCAAATTCTGTTCCTAGAATGCTGGGGAAGGGGTAGGAGACAAGGGGGAGTTTCCTAATACCTAAGTTTACAGGAAAGTTTTAAAAACTGGTAAGAAGTCATCTGCTCTTTCAATTTGAAGCTACAAGCTCCTCTGCAATACTGAGGCCAGGTATTCCCCTCTCCTCCCCCACCCCGCCCCAGCCGGGCAAGGTGCAAAAATAAGGCTAATCAAGACAAACAGCTTTCTAAACCACCCCGCAAATGATACAAGGAAGAAAACTAGCATCAATCTTCTACTGAGTCCAGCTCATTCCAAATTTTCCCCAAATCAAAGTAGAAGTTCGAAAGCAGCATTTTCTTTTAAGATTTACTTTTTGTGTGTGATTATCAACAACGTTGTCTGCTATTCTATTCATGTTCTCCTACGTGAAAGGTATACAGTAATCTGTCTCTCCTCTACTCCACTGGCCCACTCCAACCCCTTCATTTCTACACATTTCCGGTCTTCACCACTTGCCCTATATTGAGTGTCCCTCTCAGCTTATGGGACCAATGAGACAACAAAGGTGTGTTATCACAGGATCAATCTTAAATTGAGAAATACAACCTATATGTTTCAAGAATGGTACATAGGTGAATGTTCACCTTCCTTCTCACGCTAGCATGTTTTGCCTTGCTGTGTTAAATAAACTAAAAGTTTTCTACAGTTCAGAGTGCCCCTTGACCAGCCCACAATAAAAAAAAAAAAAAAGCAAATCACTCTCAGAACTGCCACAGGAAAACTGGCTGGCTTATCATTTGTAGAAAAGACTGAGTCGCTGCACTATCCCAAATAAGGTACATGGTTACTACACATTCCCATACTTCTGCCAATCTACCTGTAAATATTTCCAAGATAAATTTCCACCCAGGGAGTCACTTCTGGCTGTGAAGGAAAACATGATTTCTTTCCAGAGGTACTTGACTATCCTCTCCCAATCACAGAACTGGTGGTTTTGAGATTTCCCCATCAGCTGATAGTTAGGAAAGATAAGGTGGTGGTGTGGGCTCATCACCAGGAGAGAAAGTTCAAAAGCAAGCAGATGATCTCTAAGTGTCCTGGATGCAACAAGCCAAGGGCAGCGCTCAGAAGTGAAGAGGAGCTTTACTCTTTCATGGGGCAAACTCTTCCCCTACCTGCCAAACTCCACCAACTGAATGCCACACTGCAAAGTCACAACTGTTTCCAGAATTTTTTAAGAGTGTGTTCACAGGAATCATTCGAAATCAATGGAGGGCAATATTAGGTGACTTTAAAGTAGACATTTAAGGTCATGAGTTTACGTGTGTCTAGAATCACACACAATGTTTCTAACAACCCGTCCCTCATTTGAACCTTTTGAGAACCTCCATGTCTTAAAATCTGACCAAAAAGCCAGTTTGTCCAGCTTATACCAACCACTAGAGCCATTATTTCAAAGTTATCAGAAGATCATTAAAAATATAAACCTAAGTTCCTTCAGTGGATTTTCCCCGGGCGGGGCAGAGAGACCAGACTGACTTTTTCCTTCTTGGTGAAAAACTAAAGTTCTCTTGTAGCCCTGCGAAGGCGACAGACAACGGACTCTGAATGTCTCTGGTCCCTGCGGGCTGCAGCAGCGGTGGGGCGCCCGCGCGCGTCCTACCTTGGACCTCTCCTTGACGTAGTATTTGCCCAGCCGGCTCCCGCAGTACAGGACCAGCCTGTCGATGAGGGACAAGAGAAAGCTGATGGCCTCACAGCCCTCCTCGTTGCCCCCGATCCACGTGATCTGGTCTCCCCGCAGGTGCCGCTTGGAGACTCCCGCGCGCGGCCCGGCCAGCTGGCCATCCCGCAGGACTCCGTTGCTGTGCAGCTGCTTGACGCGCTCCAGGACGCAGTCGCCCACTACCTCGCCCAGGAAGTTATCCAGGTAACAGAAGCCGACCTCGTGCAGACAGGGCACTATGTACTCCAGGGCGATTTTCTCCAGATCCAGCCTCATGATGTGTCCCAGGGGCATCTCGCCCTCAGAGTCAAGCTCAGGGACCCCCAGCGTGTACCAAGAGTGAGCGACTTACGAGCGCGCGCAGCGGAGACACGGCTGGTGTGGCCCGGAGTTCAGCTGCCTGCAGCTGACTGGGTCCCCGAGCCAGGGCAGCGCCAGGGAGAAGGGAAACTTGCTCGCAACTCTGGGAAACGGGGATCCAGTTCAGGGATCAGCGAGACTTGTGGGGAGCTCCACGACCGAGCACCAGACTGACTCAGTGAGAAGTGAAAGGGCCCCTTTTGGAGACGCAGAGCAACCAATGGTGCGGAGGCGGCCCCAGGCAGGGAAAGGCTGAGGTCCAGTCCGGCAGCCGGCCCACTTGATGCGTCACGGGCCCCACCCAGGCCCCGCCCCTGTACCGCCTCCTTCTCCCCCGCCAGTCACCCTCGCGCAGATCTACAGCAAACAGCCTCGGTTGTCCGACTAGCGTAGAGGCTGGCTAACAGATGGAGTTTTCAGACTGCTATAGATTTGCACGTGTTTTGCATAAAATTCAAGACCAAACTTGAAAACGTGGCTCCCAGCTCTGAAAATACAAATGAAATTAACAGCACAGTACACTGCCGCATTCTGGCTGGTCACCTCACACTCCTGAACAAAATAATAAACTCAGGAGAAAATTTTATGTATATTAAACAGTGGTCTCTTCCTAGGTTTACTTGGTGCCTTTTCTTATTCCCTTTTCCTCTTCTGTTTGACCCAGATCAGGAGGTTCAAGCCACTGAGAGGCTGAGAGGATTCCAGTTTTAACTAAAATTAACATTTTCCTAATCCCTGCTCTAATTCAAGGCCCTCTGTGCCCAGTGAAGAAATGCTGGGTCCTATCTGATTGAACCCTGAAAACACCATATATTGCTTTGCTGGATGTTTTCATCGACTAATCTTTCAAATTTACTAAACCATGGCATTCTGAAAGTCTGCCTTCAAAACTAACCACATGCTCATGTAACAGCCAGCTTAAGTATGTCTTCTAAAAGATAGTCTGTAGTCCTCTCACTTTCCCACAAGAAGCCGCACTTACATGGGAGGGCAGCACCTAGAAGACTTTTTAGTTACCCAAAGGTAAGCTGAGTGCTTCATGGCTTTTTAATTTCCTGATGAAGGCCAGATCAAGATCAGGAAAAAAGAGTCATAAATTGCATGCAAATCTATTTCCATACTTTTAATTTTACATTAGTTTTATTCAAGTTCTTCATTTAAGTTGAACAGAAGAATGTACAGTCAGGTATCATTCATTTTGTACATAATCCTCTACAGCTTTTTCACCTTTATTCTCCTTCCAATAGCCCTGTCCGCTCTGCATCCAAGGGGGGGGGGGGAATATGATAGGAGGATGGAATAAAGCCCAGGCCAAGAACAAAGAGTAGGGTGGGAACGGGACACTGCTGCTGCTACATTGTGGAAAGAAGCAGACAGAAGGAATTTTCAAGAGGATCCATCAATGGGAAACTCGGATGAAACTTCTAGTTCTGTTGAGAAGAGCTTCTCTGCCAAGGCGGTGATTAGTTGGCACCGTTGGTACAACCTTTCAGCAAAAGGCGCACCAATGAGGGTAAAGTCTTGACTCAACCAGCCTCAAGGAACTAAGTTCCCTCGGCAGCTCTATGATGCCCACATCCTTGGACCTCCACACTTAGCAGCCAGTAGGTACCTAATCAGGTGGGCCCAGGTAGGCTGTGGCTTTCGGTTTGTGCAGCTTAGGGGACTGTTGTAGACCTCAGAAGCACATATCCCTGTAGAAACCAGAATTTAAAAGGAAGGGAGTGGCCAATAAATCTCGGTAGGTGGTTGAAATTTTTCTAGCTAAAGGTTCTTCATAAGTACACCTGACATTCCTAGGAATTACTGGGAGGAACTTGACAGAGGGCCAGACATCTGCAGCAGCAGGCGGTGGAGGTCGTGCAGTGACAGGTGTGTTTCGTGCCATTAAGATGGCTCTGACTCCCGGTGACTCTATGAATTAGTCACAATGTTCACAATGTCCTGTTCTCAGCAACCTGTGGACTCAAGAGCTAATGAATAAAATTACAGGTCCACCTCTCAGCATGGACATGTTGACCCAAGACTTTATATCCCAGAACTGGGCAAATTCAGTTTGCCATTCAAATAGCATTTCAATAATTTTAAAGTTCTAACTAGTCTAATTGTAATTAGAGCAATAGTCTATAAGCACATTCTGGTGACTGATAGCCTTAAGCTGTTCTAGATTACTCTGGCTGCAAAGCAGGGGCCGTTCAGAAGGGTATTTAATCCCTTGCTACCATCCCTGCTTGGCAAGGGCACCGATTAATCAATCAGTCAGTCAAGGGCCTCCCAATCAACTTGTGGCTGCCAGCACTGCACGTGGCTGAGGAGCTGGAGATGGCGTGGCTGGCAAAGAGCACAGTGTGTGAGTTCATGGAGGGGTGCAGACAGGCTAGCGCCATGCACAGGCTCTGAGCCTAAGCATCAGCGTGGCAAACACCAAGCTAATTGCTACAGTGCATTTGTTTTAGTTATTTGCCCATTGATTTGTGTCATTGTAATAATGAATATTAAAATATTTTTCATATTAATAACTAAAACAAATTAATGTCCCTGTAATTTAATTACAACAGCAGTCATTGTCTTCCAGTATATATCTATCTGCAGTCATTTTCAAGCATGTGGATGAGACAGGGTGTTGAATTTCTTTGCCTTAGAGTTTGAAATGAAAGGGATGCTCATAATCATCTGGGCAATTTCATTTTCTTGCAGATAAGGAAACCAGGGACCGGAGGGGCTGGACGTTGGGTAACTTTCTCTAAAAGAGCCTCTGATGAGTCCAAGAAGAAGCCTGGAATGTTGTGTATTCTCAGCTAGAACAAAGACAGCACTCACTCTGGCATGTATGTTTGATTTTTATAATGTAAAATTTACAAAACGTAAAATTAACCCTTATAAAATGAATAATTCATTGGCACTTAGTACAGTCACAATTTCGTGCAACCACTGCCACTCTGTGTTTCCCAAATACGTTTGCCAGCTGAAAAGAAAACCCTCTACCCAATGAACAGCTACTCCACAACTCCCCAGCCCTGACCACTGTCCGTCTGCTTTAGTTGCTGTGGATTTACCTTTTCCAGACAATCCCTCGGAGCAGAATCAGAGGATATGTGACTTTTTGTGTCTGGCTTCTTTCACTTAGTAAAATGTTTCCCAGGTTCATCCACATTGTACCATGTATCAGTACTTTGTTCCTTTGCATGGCTAAATAATATTCCATTGTATGGATAGACCACATTTCTTTATCCATTCATAACCTAATGGATATTTGGTTGTTTTCACCTTTTGCCTATTGAGTACCTACTTTCCATTCTTTTGGGCATATACTTAGGAGTGGAATTGCTGGGTCACATGGTAATTCCGTGTCTAACTTTCTGAGGAACCAACAAACTATTTTCCAAAGGGCTGTGTCATTTTATGTTTCCACCCATGTTATGGTATCACATTCTTTTTTATTTCTCATGAAAACTGTCTATATGTCTTCTGCCCCTTCAACCTCCTGCCATGCCTCCCTTCTCTTCTGTGTTCTTGCCATGCCATATCATCAAGAGGCTTCTCATTACACTGAATGGCTTCATAGTGGGCAAGGGCTCTTATTTATTAATTTATGAAACAAACACTTTGGTAACACCATATTCCAGGTACTGTGCTAAAAGTGTTACAAACATTACTTTGATCAATTCTTATTACATCCCCAAAGAATCAGTACTATTAATAGTCCCCATTGTGAAGATGACACAAGTGAAACAGAGAGAGAGGCTAAGGCCAAGGTCACACAGTGAGAGAGTAAAACAATGATGGACAAAATCTGAGAATTGCCAATGTAGTAAGGGCAGGAGAAAAGATTATTTTGAGCCATTTGTTTGTCATGGCAACTTTTTTGTCCTTAAGTATTCTCTCTCTCTCCTTTTTTTTTTTTTTAAGCCAAAGTGTGTTTATTGGGATGGTGGCCCCTTGTCTAATCTGGGAGCTTTAGTGCTGCTTTGTTCTGAAAGACCATCCTTCTGCAGGCCCTGTGTGTCCTCCTGTAGGCCAACAGAGGACAGTGGAGCAGCCAACACACAAAACTACCCCTGGTGGATGGCTAGGGTCAGTGGTGACTTTACAGCATCCCGGGTATTTCACACTGATTGGAGCTCTGCACTGGGTGCTCCTTCCTGTGTGTTTCTTCTTCTCGTCTTCTGGAGAGGGGTGAGAGAGAGCCTTAGCAGGGGCATGTTGTTGTGGCGAGGTGGTCACTGCCGGAACTGCCCTTCAGTGCTCTTTTTTGCTATGACTCTTAATTATCACACTCTCACCTGCAATGAAAATTTTGATTATTGTTTGCCTTACTGGCACTTGGTGAAGAAGGGAGATAAGCCAAACTTACCATAACTGACTTAACAGACACTATTAGGAGGAATCTTCCAAACTACAAGTTGGGGTCAGCTCCTTGTTCCTTTCCAGCGATGGCCCAGTGTTGCTGGGAGTTGCACATTCCAGTGACGTGTAGTCTGTGAAGAGCAGTCATTGGTAATGAGCCACCCTCCAGTCCACAGGTCTGTATGGCTCAAGCTTCAGGACACAAGAAGCACATTTCATTTAAATGGAGGTGGTGAAACAAGAGCTCGGTGCCTGAAGGGAACTTGCACTTGAGCTCACTGCTGTGAACTGGGTCGGAGTAAGGTGCATGCAATCACGTCCCATTCCCTGCGGAGTCCAGGCATCCTCCTTCTGTCCATGTCGAAGGGGAAAGAAAGTGACTTTCTGTATAAGTTCTTAATTGTTTCTGAGCACATGGGCAAGTGCTCTTTGATAACTCTGTCCATGTACAGATTCTGGGAAGCGAGACATATCAGTAATTTCTTTAACATTTTCCAATTCAACTCTTACTTAAACTGAAAATGCCCAAAAAGCATTCACTCTGGCTAAAAATATGGCAAAAAAAAACACCATGGTATCAATCATAAAAATACAGCAGTGTCATGTTTATATTAGTATGGAATATGCTAGGAAGCTTTAATGCTTAATTTTATCAAGTCTTTTACAAAAGGTTTTCATGTCTTAATGTGTCTTATTTAAAATGGCTTATTTTTTATTCTAGAATAGTTTTAGATTTACAGGACAATTGGCTTACACAGAGTTACCACATGCCCCGCACCCAGTTTCCCCTGTTGACATGTAACAGTAGTATAGTACACATGTCACAACTTATGAATGAATAATGATATATTATTAACTAAAGTCCTTATTGTGTTCACATTTCCTTTGT